ACTTTGGTGACAAAGACGTAAAAGTGAAGTGAATCTCTCGCCAATTAAAAAAACAAGTGAACAGTGTAATAATGTGCAATCTAAAATGTAAGCAAACTTTGATTTTGTTGCCTGTAACCTCTGCCTGACCATTCTGCCGAATATATGTCTCAGTAACTATCTATATGTCGTCTTATTGTCTACAATCTCAGTCTGCCTCCTGCCTCAATAATCAACGAACCCATTGATCGAGGAAAACTTACTTTGTAACGACCCCCTGTAGTAGGCCAACGAACGAAGAAAGTTGGGGGCATTACAATTTCATTATATATACGCAGTATACGTAGTTATTCAATTATTCTCAAATTCTCTATTGAGTATTGGTAATATTCATAATTAGCAATGAAAATTCAATTGTCTCAAAATGTTTCCTTATGATTTGTAACTTATGGCTTATAATAAATTTGTGTAAATAATAATTATATTAATTCACAATAAAGGACATTTGAATCGGTGAAAGTGACAACACGACGCATGACTTGTGGGCGTGGTCTTGTCAGTTCTCAGCATTCTGTACAATGTTGCCAAGTCTCCCAACATTCACATGATATAGGCAACACATTCACAGAACTGAACTAATATACTATATAATGCCTAGACCACGAAAAAATATCTTACAACATAGTTTTGTTTACTTGCTGGGACCAAAATTATACGGTTTGATACCAGTCGACCTGAAACTGATAACTGATTTATGCTCATAATCTTTTCATCTCCAAACTGGAAAAATGGATAAAAGAAAAACCGAGATCGAGAATCCATCAATTTGTTGAAGTTACAAATAATTCTTATCAATGTGTCAAATTTGCTGATACGTTTATAAGTGACGTTGATAACGAATTCTAGTGATTAGTTCATTATAGCCTTTATGGACTGGAATTTTCATAAATCTTCATTCACTAACCGTCCCGATTGACTTATATGAGCTTTCACTTGTATCTATTGTACTTCGACTAATAATATATTATAACAGTTTATGTTTTTGTAAAGCAATTTATAATCGGAGCAGACAAACCTCAATAAATTGATGCTTATAAGAAATGTTGGAGGAAAAACGGTAGGACAAGATGGTTCATGGGCTCAATTTACCATCGTCATGACTCGTGACAATCGAATCTAACTGCTCCATTTACCTAGATCTCTAATCCATCAAGCCGATCTGTAACATATCAATCGCGTTATGGTGTTGGTTTGATTGTCTCATGCAGTATTGGATCCAGGATTTTTTTTAGGAGGGGTCACTAGGCGAAAATTAATGAAATTAGCAAAATAATTAAATACAGGGTGAAAAATATACCGGATGTTTTTCAAAAGTGGCTCACCCCTATAACTTGTTTGTTTTTACAGATGAACAAATGAAATTCGGTGTGTAAGTATAGTACATAAATATGCATTATTTGACGTATTCAATCGTTTTCTGGCACTTCCGGTTCGACCGGAAATGACCCTTATTTTCTTATTTTGAATAGGACACCCGGTAAATTTTCACTTATTTCGATAGAGAATCACATTGTGAGTACAATGATACCTCATTTGCCACTTTTTGACATTTACCATCCTGAAATTTTCATTTTTCCACTTTTAATCTGGAGTGCCATGAATGAGTTAAAACAGTTGATATTGAATCAAGTTGCCAAGGACAAATTTTTTCTTTTTTTCTTTCCATTTGTTTCACAAGTTCATTAAAAATTTACAATTATGATGATGTTGACTATTTTTTTTTTTCAAATGGAACAAGGGTGGCTCATTATATCTGGAAAAGGTATTGTGTTACGATCACGTTGATACCATATAGGTAATCGATATTTTGAATCGATATCCAGTATCATAATCTTCCTAAACGCTCTAATGGTTCATTGTGATGAAGCGTCATCGTTAATAATGAAAAAAAAAATTGAGGAGGCTTTGAAAAGTAATATTAAACAATTTTTGTGCGCAGCCATAATGAACTCATTGGTTTTGGCAAAATTTTCAGGAAACACTATTTTTACAGGAACGTAATAAATGTTTTATTGAATCGTTTTATTTTTTGCCATATCTTCGTAGTCGTTTGGGAAAATCCCATCACACCCGGCATTGTTGAATTTGTAATAATGAACTCTACTTGAATATGGAATAATATACTGGGTGTCCCTATTCAAATAGAAGAGTTTAGGTGCAGTTCGGTGTGACCCTGTATACCTACGATTCATTCAATAGCATATTTCGAGTGAGCATCATCAAATATACTGGGTGGCCGAATTTCAAGTCATTCGATCGCGCGGTTGATTTTTTACAGGAGGGGACATTTTAGCTGGGACACGGTGTATATGTATATATCAGGTTCAAATGAAACACCCTGTATATTTAAAGGGCCTGGTGCTTAAGTAACCGGCTAAAATGTATTTTCTTGTTGTTGTGAAATGATCACAATATCCCTCTACTTGATGACCAATATTTTTGTGGAGAAAAAAAATCTCAAATTTCGTTTTTGCAAAGTTTTTCTCGATTTTCCACGAATTATGAAAAACGGAGCTGACCGGTTTTTACACCAGGCCCTTCATTTTCAACTGTTGTTTTTTTCTATTCACAAATTTGAAAGGTCCCTCGAGCCGTTTTCGACTAAAATTATGCTGCACAACTACAGTTTTCGCAATATTTTCATAATATATTCTTACCATTTCGAATTTTTTCATCTACGGAATAACACATTTCAATTGAAAAACTGACAGAGATGTCAAAAAATTCATGTTTTCGTTCCACGGTTTCAAAGTTGTGTCCACAGCCATCTGAATTGTTATTGGCAACTCTGATTGAATTCAAAATAGCTTGGGTGTCCCAAAATTGATAGAGGCCAAAATAAGTTGATTGGACCAAACTTATTTGTGTACCAAAATGTACCGTTTGTCCGTGAAAGTATAAGACTTTTCAAAACTTTCGTCATTTTTGAAGTGTCGAATTCTATACAGGGTGTTTCAGTTGATGTGATCTGTTCGAGTGCCAAAAGAGTACAGATGAAATCCTATACAACTTTTATATTTGGTGTTTTTTTCCATCTCCTATATTTGAAGATGTATGTAGGAGTCAAAATATAATGAAACACCGTGTAGGTACATGTGTTTTTTATACTTTGCTTTCAAATGGTTGCATTCTTCTGCCGGATCCAGATCCACCACTGATTTCAAATTAATGTCCGTGAAATTATTGGTTTTACTTCTAAGAATGGTTAACAAAGCGACATACGATATGGTCATGTGCATCTACCATAAAACCGAAGAAATAGTCATAGAAATAATTACTGAAATTAATAGATCAAATCGTGAATACTGATGTTGTTAACAGTATTTTGTTTAATTGCTGGATACGTATCTGATGGACGAACATTGGGCAGGTGCCTAAGTTTACACTAAAAAAAACCGTTAGATACTTCAAAATTGTACTCGTACATGGTGATTTAGTGACGAGAACCATGAATTGGAGGGCTTGTACACAAAGCTGATTAATTATATATGAACAAAATTCTAGTGAATTTTCGACTAAAAATGTTTCCCGACGCGTAGCGGAGGGAGACAAAAAACTGTGATCTAAAATTTAATATTTTTTCCGTGTATATTATTACTATTTTCTTCTGTGACAGAAGGAAGAACGAATCAATATTGAGAAGATATTACATTATTTTGAAATCTGAAAATTATCGACGTGAAATTTTAAGTTTTTAACAGTAGGGACACCTGCGTTGTAGGCAAGAATGATAAATCTTTTGAAGTAATCAAATATCTGATGTCACTTCTGTCAGTCTAATTCTGTGATTTGATTTCAAAAAATGGCGAATTTAGTGGTTGTTTCGTAACCGCGAAGTCGAATGGAAGATGAAAGGACTTGCAGTTCTTTCTCGGAGACGGTATTATTGACTCATTTTTCGGAACTATAGCACAACAAAAGCCATGAACACTGTATATATATGTGATATATATCAGGGAAAAAAGTACTCACTTTTTTCCCACGAGAAAAAAGTAATTTATGAAAAGTGAAATTTTATAACCTGCCAACAGAGATGAAATGCCATGGGTTGCGTGCAAGAACTGTCAGATAACCGACGCTGGAGGCAAAACATTGACACTTTTCATATTCGTTTACAAGTGATCGAAATAGTTTTTCACAATTATTTTGGCATACGAATCGTATTTTTCCGCTATTCATCAATTCGCTCATGCCATCACATTATGCTGTTGTGAAATGCACAAAAACTGCAGCGGAAGACGAAGTAATCCGGTTGGTACAATATGATTTAAAAGTAAGTACCTACTATAGTCTCACTCACATATAGTTTTCATTTTTGAAGTTTGGTAATTTCTCTGATTTCTCATCGGAATTCCTTCTGCGATAGGAGCTAATAGAAATACACCTGAAGTTTCTGAAACAATGCAAGAAGATTGGATTCATGTAAGATGATTCATGCAATCAATCCGGAGGACTGGTTTGACATGCTGACGATCGTGTGTGTTGTAGACATTTTCAATCTATTAGCAGTATTAGCTTGTATTGCATAAGTGGCAGAAGGCAGAAGGAATTTTAATAAGGAATGACAACATTTCATAATGATAACTATGTGAGATTACTATTTACCGGAAAAAATCATATTCTTTAGTCTCTTGCTGCATTTTTTGTGCATTGTACAACAGCACAATGCGAAGGCATGCTCGAATTAATGAATAGCGCCAAAAACACGATTCGTATGCCAAAATATTGTGAAAAACTATTTTAATCCTTTGATTCTTCTGTAACCAAATAAAAAAGTGAGGTTGTGTTTCAATAATTCACAGAAGAATGAGGTTGTGTTTCAATATTTTGCCTCCAGGGTCGGTCATTATGCACGCGACCTATACTTTTTTCCCGTCACAGAAAAAATAACCATATTATCAGTTTCATTTAATTCGGATCAATCAGTGTCAAAATATTGATAAATTCCAATTTGTTTGCAGGGAAATCGAGATATTGACGACTAACGACACGATAGGGAGAGCCCCCGAGCCTATACTGGGCGTTGGCGTCAGACAATCCGGAAAATTGGTTACCGGCGAACTGAACGTTTCCCCTGGCACCCCCCTACAGATGGAGATTTTCCTGGACAAAGTTTCGGCGCCGATATACGGTCTTCTAGTCACTCACATGCAAGTCACGGACACTAAGGCACAAGAGGAAACTATCATTTATAATGGGTAAGAAAACGAAAATACGGTGAACCAGGATAACTTTGTGACTTGGGTTTTACTTTAGGACAACTGGTGTTTTCCTCACAATGTAACTTTAAAAAATATATTCAAGCAGTAAATATGACAACTTTTGATGGGAAAGAAAAAATAGTGGCAACATTGCATTTGCTTTAGTCTTAGCATGCGTTTTTCGAATCTCTACAAACTAAAAATTTTATCTTTAATCGAATGAACACTTCATTTTGAATTATGTTTTTGTATTTTCTCATAAAATTAAATCACTTTAAGCACTACGGCTAAAAGTATTTTACTATTGAAACCAGTGACATGAAATGGCATTTAATACACTGACAGCATGCATTAAAAATTATACTTTTACTGGCATTTGCAGTTTGGGAGATAATATATTGAGCTCCCATGCGTTTGCTTTCGACGAGATCGCAAGTATCAAAATATGTTAGCGCGATTTTTTTGATTTATCGTGTCTTTATTCATTTGATTTACTGTTCCAATTTTGGAAATACCCTGTATATTGAAGTTGATGAAGTTCCAAATAGATTGAAAAGAGTTGCATACCAAAGTTAACTATTTACAATTTTAATATTCTAGAGTTACCTCTGGATGCCAATTTGTTTAAAAAGCTCAACATGCTCAAAAAATCATGAAGATCCCGTAATCTGACGTCACTGATTTGATTTTTATTCCAGTAGGCAGTAGAGCATTAATCTGTTGCTCAACAGAAAGCAGTGGCACAAATCATTTCTGAACACAGCTTAATCTGAGTGATTTCCAAATTTGTTTCGATTCGCTTTCGATTGATAAAATGATAAAACCGTTGGCAGTATTCGAGGATGATGTCTGGATTCGCGTCTATTACCTCGGCAATGTTAACAATTTTCTCTTTTTTGCCATATTTATACATTATTGTTGCCTTTTACGCCATTTTATTTGTTTTCATTCGTCATCCAACTTGATCAATCTGATTTGATTCTTATGCTCTCTGAAAATTCGCGGAGCAAATAGATGTATTGCTTCAAGTGATCTATGGCAAAAACACTCAATCATCAATTGCTCGAAACAAACGAACATCAAACATGGCTCACGTCACTTTTTAGAAGGATGATCATGACAAACGAACAGGCCTCTGATGTGCGAGAAATGATTTGGATATTTTTGTTTTTCAGATGTTCTGTGGACCCCTACCTTTTCGAAAACTTCAACACTGTAGACGGTGACTTCTTATCAGCCAAATTTCGAGCATTCAAATTTCCGGAATCGACATACGTCCAGTTCAAAGGAACCGTCAACGTCTGTCTAGACAAATGCAAGGGGGTAAGAATAGTTATTTATACATCAAGGTAGTTAAGAATATCATTATTACCCAGGGACCAACATTATGAGGCCCCGTTGTAATAATTTCAATCATTATAGTTCTGTGAATTTCACTGTGAATTTCACTGTGAATTTCACTGTGAATTTCACTGTGAATTTCACTGTGAATTTCACTGTGAATTTCACTGTGAATGTCACATTGAATTTGGATAAGAACTGATATAAAACCACTGTTTATACCTAACTCTTGAAGGCGACACCCTGCTTTGTAGAGAGGCATTACGAATGCCAAAGTTGATACACTTCCCTCGTAAGGGTACCTGGCGTGATTCCATACCCTTACAGTCTGTTAATTTTGTGACCGTTCATTTAATATTATTCAATAACTTGACAAGAGCTGTTTTAGATCCGGAGAAGTGTTTGAAGAAGAATTGAATTATGAGATGTATCTGAGGACTAAAGAATTTGATATTGATAAAAACGTATCATGAAGATCTCCATAATCTAGGAAGGCTGTTCACAATGAATTTGGAGAATAACTGATTAACATTTAATAACTTGACAACAGCTGTTATCCGGAGAAGTCCTTGAAAAAGAATATAATGATGATCTGTATCTGAGGAATGAAAAATTTAATGTTACTAAAAACTTATCTTGAATATCTCCATAAACTAGGAAGGCGTTCAGAGAAGTAGAATTCCAGAGTAAACTGTCCTACAAATGAATTAGCTATTCTTGCAGAAAAGGATTCCATGATTCTGACAAATCTGTGATATTTGAGACTATTCCTGAGATTTCCTAAAAAAATATAAATGAATATTGATTTTTTTCTGTTAATACTTAACTTCACGTACACCCAAGTTTATACACCTACTTCCAAAGCAGCCAAAGGTTGTGATTATTATATCATTCTAAATCAATCACACATATAATTTGGTTCACATTTTTAAGAACACATATTCATTGACAAGCAATTCTATTGCTTTTCCATAGTTCACATTACATTTGGAAAAGAACTGATATAAAACCACTGTTTATACCTCCTACGCAGAAAGACATTATGAACGCCAAAGTTGATACCCTCCCCACGTAAGGGTACCTGGCGTGATGCCATGCACTCTCCGCGGAGAGAAATATTAACCCATATCCTTTACCTGGTATATTTTTCAGATCGAATGTAGCGATGGACAAATCGGTTATGGAAGAAGAAAAAGAGCCATATCGGAACTCCCAGCGGATCCGAATAAAATTTTCGAAATCTCCATCACGTCGTTCATCAAAGTTGGCAACGAGAACTCCGAAGTAGTTGCTAGCGAGAAGAGTTATACCAACAAGAAATTCATAGTCGGTAATCAGTTAGCCGAAAAGGAGTTTGTTGAAGGTGAGATATTTTTGACACGCTTATATATTATCTTGGTAAGTATATGTTTGAATGTTACGGAATCTTCGAACGTGATTTTGACCCAATTCAAAACGTCAAATTGAATTGGAACTTTGCACACTTATCAAGGAACGATGACAATAGCATAATCTGATGGTTTTAATCCATTTCTGATCACAATATTCATGATGGGCGCTTTTTCTCTGAATAAAAGAAAAATTGCAAATGTTTGGTTTCATTCCTTTGAATACCTTTCTACATCCAAAGACACGGCAGTGTCTTGCAAAAAGTACTCGTATGGAATAGTTACATCCACAGAGACGGTAGTGTCTTGCACCCAAATACTAGGGTACTCGTATAAAATACATTTTCACATTTTCCGGGCAGGAAGCCTGATAAATGGTGGATTACTGAGGAAATATACTTCACACCTCATCAGCTTCTCATGATCTACAAAGCACAAATATGGCCAGTTTTAAAATACTGATCTCACATATGTGGTTCAGCACCCAAACATACGGTGATGCTCTTAGATTCTATCCAGAGAAGAGCCATCCGCCTGATGGGTGATGCTCACTAACTCTTTGACCCCATTATTAAAACACCTTAGAAAAGTCAGCGACCTTTAGTTTTTCAATAGATACTTGCACGAGAAATGTTCCTCAGAAATCTCTGCTATAATTCCATCACTATAGCAATACCAGTCAGCACATCCTTGAATATTATTTACCAATGGAAGTATTCCCAAGAACTTATAATCCCGAGAGTTGAAAAAATCCAACACCTACCTCCTCTATTCTACCTTCCGACAAACGCACGATCATAGGAATTTTCTTTCGTGCGCTCCAAGAGATACAAAAAACGCCTTCATTATTAGGGATCCTCACAAAGATAAATCGTAGGCAGTAAGGTCGTCTTCCGACCGAGGGGTCCAACTGATATTCCTGTTTTTTTATCGCTTGGAGCGCACGAACAGAAATCCCTATAATGTTCAAAGAACATCGTGCGTCCTAGGGAGGATAGGGACAGGAGGTAGGTATTGGAATTTTTTTTGAACTTCTGGGGATTGTATGTTGTTGGGAATACTTCCTCAGGCAATGAATTCCGATGAAGGAGTTTTGATAAAGTGCTGTTCGAAATCTTTCGAGGTTGACAACGAAAAGATGTGCTGACTGGACTTGTCTAGATCGTCTGACTGGTATTGCTAGTGAAGGGATGATAGCAGAGATTTCCGAAGAACATTTCCCGTGGGGGTATCGATAGAAAAGTGAAAGGGATCGACGAGGATTTCTTGATATCTCTTGTCGATCCATTCGACATTTTCAGGGGTTCCAACTGTTTTGGCAGTACATTTTGATAGCAGGCTTCAACTTCGTAGCTGCGTTGCTCACCCGTCCAATAATTCATTGTCAATAAATAGTACGCCATGTGGGTCCCGACAGGCCAGGCTTTCATCCCCACCACTTTGTAGTGCGCTGCAAGCGCCACCCCAAATCGTCCCTTTTTATTGACGAACATATCAAACAGTCACATCGCGAATTTCTTGATAATATCCAATGTATTCTAAAACCGATAAACTCCAAATGGAGAATGCAATTGTTTCCTATGAAATCCAAACACACGTGTTGAAAAGGAATATTATCAGATAAGCTATGTACATTAAAAATTCTCTATGTGATGAGGAAATCAACTCTTTTTCAGTTTATTCAACAGAAAGCAACTACTTTCCTGGCTATATGCCACGACGAACATTGAATTATATCTATTGAACACATACGCTAGGAGTTTGAAAATAAAATATATGGGGTTCAAACTTGAACGCTGGAAACTTGTCATTTTTATAGACCTCTAATGACAGATTCGTGATAGAGTCTCTCTTTTCACGCCCTGTATGATGAATATCAATTTATCATGCACCCAAAAACCAAACACACGTCTTCGAATTTGATTCATAGACCGAATTTTATAGTTTTTTGGCTTGGAAACCCAATTTGATTCCATAAAAAGATATTTATATAATATTCCTGTATAACGAACGTTCGTACAAGCATCAGTGTGATACAGCATATGGGTTTCTTACTATATGGACATCTTTATAGAACTGTTTCATTGTATAGTGTTCTGATAGAACATAAGCATTGTATAATATCGACGCCATTCATAACTCCAAATTGAAAAAAAAAAAATTTCTGTTTTTTTTTTTAATTAGATGAATCTATCTTCAGAGGAGTTCCACCCCAAGAAGTCCTGGAACTCAAAGAAGAGGAAAAATACACATCCATAATGGCCGAAAATTCAAGTTCTCCAGTGAAAGCAGCAGAAATTGCGATTCTGCTTGTCGCGTTCGCCAGGTTGTTTCTGTGAGAACATCCCAAACTGCGAGTGCTAAATTATAATCATTCTGTAAATATCTGTGATAAAAACAATGAAGGATCTATTGATTGTGATTTAGTAATTTTCCACCACTAAACGATTTGGTGAAGATGTAGCTATAAATAGTGGAACGAAGTTCACAACGATACCAATTTTAAATGAAAATTTTAGTTAACCCGGTAGATATTCATATTATGGGTATACTCAATTTTCTAATAGCTTTCTACTCACAAAACTTACTCTTCGCCTTATACTTACATGAAAATACAGTGTGAGAATTTTTTCATAGCTACCTACCCACAACTACTGAGTATTACTGTATAAAACACGTTTTTCTGCAATCGGCTCAAAAGTCGTCCATTTATGATCCAAAATCAGCTCTTGAAGTTGACGTTCCTCTTACTGACACAATAAAATAATTAGCATATATGTAGCTAGGCAACACTTTTAGTGTCTAGGAGTTAAAGTCGAACTCCTAGGTTGGACACTGACATGCTCAAGTGACGCAAAATATTGGTATTTCCACTTATATTTCAATAATTAAATATCAATTATTTCGATTGCAGAAAAAATAGCATGTTTTCATGTCATCAAAAGTGACACTGTTTGACTCGCAAATTTTGCGTGCTCTGCTTCGCGGTCGTTCCGCCTCGCAAATGCAAATATCGCTTGTCAAACAAAGTGTCACTTTGATCCTTATAAAACAATGTAGGTACTATTTCAAACCACTTTACTGCCATTTTAATGACATTTTTCTGCCTGCATATCATTGCTGAAAATATGTTCCAGTGAATGATGACTTACTTAATTAGTTAATTAGGTCCGAATAGTTAATGCAATGAACTTCTCCAAATGTTAGTAAATTTGCCATTGCACTGCCTGAAAATAGGCAGTACGCAGTTAGCAGCATCTTCAGTGTCTAAGTACTAAAAATGTTTTTGTTGAATGCCTAGGCAGTCTTTACTGACTTTATAACAATGATTTACTGAAATTCGGAAAATCATTAGGCTTTCGACTCGGCAGGGATGTGACATTTGATGCCTGGTTCTCATCCATGGCATCAAATCGTCCACTTTACTGCCTAGTTGAATAAAAAACTAGGACGATGTACATATACTCATATTAAATATTCAGATAGTTTGGTATGATAGGATATAAAAATGAAATGATACATACAAAAATGTAAGGATTGTTAATTTGAAGAATAACTAGTCTGTAATCTGTATTAAGTCAATAATAAAAATCTAGTAACCATAAGAAGACATATTGAATTCGGAAACCTAGTCCATTTAAATCAAGATTGTGAGTAATGGTTCTGAAATGATGGGATTTCTGCCATAGTTTACATTGCTTCTGGAATATCCTAAAAAAAACCAGATGAGGATCATGCTTCTCTAATTGCGCAATAAATGAATTAATAATAATCCACATTTGTTGAAGAATACATAGGTTCACTTCATAGACCACAGCTCCATTGAAATAACGACTGTGCTTTCCTGAAATGCACAAATAATTTGGAAAAAACTGGTATAAAACCACTGTTTATACCTAACTCTTGAAGGCGACACTCTCCTTTGTAGAGAGGCATTACGAACGCCAAAGTTGATACACTCCCCTCGTAAGGGTACCTGACGTGATTCCATACACTCACAATGTCGACTTATTTTTCGACTGTTTGATTGAATGATCGATAAAAGTAGTTTTTCATGAAGAAATGTTCGAAGAAGAATGAATATGTGATCTCTATTTAAATTCAATGTTCATGAATATATACTTATCTAATTGAACATCTCCATATTCTATTAATCTGCCTGACAAATGTTGAGCTCCTAAACGAATTGTCCTGAATGATGATAGATTCCTTGTGAGTACAGGATCTCAGATGATGAGACATCTGACATAGTTCACGTTGCTCCTGGAATATCCTGAAAAAAAAAACTTGGATTAGTATTGTGCTCCTCTGATTGCGCAATATATCATTCATTATAATCAACATCCATGGAAGAAATCATAAGTTCATCCTTCAAAGAGCACAGCTTCATTTTAACAACGACTGTGCTTTCCTGAAGTGCACAAATAATTTGGAAAAAACTGGTATAAAACCACTGTTTATACCTAACTCTTGAAGGCGACACCCTCCTTTGTAGAGAGGCATTACGAACGCCAAAGTTGATACACTCCCCTCGTAAGGGTACCTGACGTGATTCCATACACTCACAATGTCGACTTATTTTTCGACTGTTTGATTGAATGATCGATAAAAGTCGTTTTTCATGAAGAAATGTTCGAAGAAGAATGAATATACGATCTCTATTTAAATTCAATGTTCATGAATACTTATCTTATTGAACATCTCCATATTCTATTAATCTGCCTGACAAATGTTGAGCTCCTAAGTGAATTGTCCTGAATGATGATAGATTCCTTGTGAGTACAGGATCTCAGATGATGAGACATCTGACATAGTTCACGTTGCTCCTGGAATATCCTGAAAAAAAAACTTGGATTAGTATTGTGCTCCTCTGATTGCGCAATATATCATTCATTATAATCCACATCCATGGAAGAAATCATAAGTTCATCCTTCAAAGAGCACAGCTTCATTTTAACAACGACTGTGCTTTCCTGAAGTGCACAAATAATTTGGAAAAAACTGGTATAAAACCACTGTTTATACCTATTTCTTGAAGGCGACACCCTCCTTTGTAGAGAGGCTTTACGAACGCCAAAGTTGATACCCTCCCCTCGTAAGGGTACCTGTCGTGTTTCCATAGAGACATAAAGGTGAATATCTGCCTATCTGTTTGCTTGAGAATCTGGAAAGGACTTCAATATGTATAAAATTTCAACAAAAATTCCATAACTCCGATTAACTCGGAATTTGGCAGGTGTTCATAATTTTGATGACAATACATTATGGAATTTTTGTTGAAATAAAAAAAAATGGCTGCTCCAAGATGGCGGACAAGATTTGGTCCGATTCCATTCAAAATTGGTAAGTAGGGGTTTTTGAGGTCGGAGATCATAATTTTTTTGTTAAAATTTATAAATTCAAGATGGCGGCTTCCAAATATTTTTTTGTTTTTGTATAAATGACGATAACTCCGTTGTTATCAACACAAAACTATTACTGCGACACATCATCTGAAAGAGAAAAAAAAGTTATTTGTAACTAACTTATAGTGAGCTATGACCTACATTTGAAAAACTAAAGTTGGTGCTGATATCTCAAATTCTAGAAGAATTTCATATTTTTTTCGAAATCACTTTGAAAAACTGCCATGAGAATGTGAAATTCCTTTTTGAATATTTTCATAAATGAAGAAGTTACGGAGGAGACATGAAAATGATCAAAATCCGTTTTTTGCGTATAAAACAAAAACGAATAGATTTAATCAAAATATTTGTTCACATTATAGTTGGCCTTGACAAACTCCACATTTGGTGTCATTTAACCGACCTCGTATCTCTCACCGTTAAAAAGATACCCATGGCGAGCATGGTAAGTGGGACACACTGTATACCGAGATGTGACGATTTTGATAATTACACCGCCAGACAGAGATAATCGAAAAAGCTGCGAAAATTGAATTTGTTTCCGAAAATTTCAAGAAAAAAGTATGAATTGGCATATTGGTACCAAAAATTTATGGAATCCAAAAAAATACAGAAATGAAATTTTTTTCGGAAAGTGTACTTTTTTGTAATACTTTGAGGAACTTGGAATGGCGTCTACTCTTTGGTCACAATATTCAATGTGGCATAGTGCCACATTATAAAAGGAATACCAATAAGTTACATTACTCGAATTCTTTGAATAATAAGTGCAGTTGTAGAAAAAGTATAGTGTGCAACATGTGGGGAAAAGCACTTTTCCCACTTGTTGCACAATATACTATTTTTAAATTCTAAAAGCGTCATTCTGGACTGACTTTTTGCGGGCAATAATAATAAAGCGCTTATTTTTATGTTTATATAGGCTTTGTACTTACGGAACCGTGTAACAGTTTTTCATTTCACAACTATATATAGGTATATAGGAACTGAAAAAAATGATTTTTGAATTTTTTATTGATTAAAGCCTGGTGAGGATTTTTTCAGGCCACCCATTTTATTATAATATTCAACATGCAAAATTACTTATGAATAATTTTCATCCAATAATCAGAAAGATGAAGATCGACCTTCCTTACTTCGGATCCTCTACTACACGAATTCCGCGCAGGATCAGGACGAAATCGGACAACAGCGCTGACGAAATGTCAAAGAAAAACAAAACCGTGAAGAGTGAATGCTCGCCTCTGACGTATTTTTCCGAAAAAAAAAACCGATCGTCAAGAAACCCATAGAAAAGAACACAGCAATGTGAACTATCAAATCCCGAACATCGAAATTTAGACAGAAACAAGATTTACAACAAGTAAGTACGATTTCTCTATGCTCCCATACCCTTGATGCCGCTATTTTTGTGCGAATGATAAACGATATCAAGATCAAGCTATCTAGGAAGTCGATGACTACAGATCAATTCATTTTTCTTTGTGTTTGTTAGTTAGTGTGCTAGATTGTCCATATATTTCGGCGTTTCGACGGGGTATATTTCCATTACAGTGGACGGAAAAACACCCCCGCTATGAGGGCAGATCAATACATGAGTACAGTGTTACAAAACGTGATTAGGAATTCGAGTAATTTGATATTGTATGCGAGTTGGGGAACATTAAACGTGTGGAAATCATGGAGGAATCGATTTATCTTTTTTGGAGGGCAACGATAATTTGAATTTCATAACTAGGTTGAAAATATAGTTGTTACCTATCGGTATTTTTCTATCACCTACTAATGCCGGATGATTGATACTTCTTTTTATATTCTCACATTTCGAACAAATGTGTCACTGACTACCGCGATTGAATTCCTCTTTTAGGTGCCTTTAATAGTGAAATTTTAAATGCAGTGTCATTTTGGGGCCAATCGACTGATTTTTTCTTATACTACAAAATGATTAGGTATATTGAGACAATTCTAACATTTCAATTAACGATTTTGATAGTTTGTTTCCGTTATTTATATTCATATCACTTAAAGTAGAGCTGTATAATAGTTATTTATACACCAATAAGGTAGTAAATAATATATCAGTATTACCCAGGGAACAAGATTATATCCCGAGGCTTCAGCCAATGTATTTCTAGTGGTGAAATAGTATATTATACATCAAGGGACAGAAACGCAAGATTTTTTGCAAGGTGCGATTTGTAGCTCGAGGGCGTAATTGTTTATAGTACCTACTAATGACAAGTGAATAAGTCACTGATGACGAGTAAACAAGTCACTAATGACAAATAAAAAAGTCACTAATCGCAAATGAATAAGTCACTAATGATGAGTGATGAATAAGTCACTAATGACAAGTGATGTGTTCTCTAATGGTTAATAATCTGAAATTCACTGGAACAGGTTAGTAGATGTAGGTGCACATTTTTAAGAACACAAATATTCTTGTGATTATCAACTTGTTTCCTTGCCCCAAATAGAATACAAGTTTTTATTACCACTATTAAATATTCACTTTTATGGTTAGTGAAATTTTTTCTCCGTGAAATATTGAAGTAACGGTGATTTCCAGACGCATTCTCGAGTTGGTATGAAATTAATAAACCTAAAAGTATACTGTTCTCAGCTACCGCCATGCCAGCGGATCAGCACTGATCCAACGCCGTCAAGCTGGCGCCGTTCAGGCTGAACCTGAGCAGGATGTCGAAATCGAACTCCTCGTCGAGGAGCAGCTCGGTGGAGACCCCTGCCGACGGCGACAACGACAAGGAGGGGGGCGGGGGTGGGGCGCCCCCCCGCCTCCACGCGGCCGCGCCCCCCATCCTGGAGGACGGCGGGGGGGAATTGGACGTCGCGTCCAACAGCCCGCCGCCCTCCTACGAGCGAGTGTTGGAGGAGGTGAGCGAAAAGTCGTGACTAAAGTGGCATTTTATCATACATCAAAATACCTATCTAGTATCTATATGGTTAATTTTCTAGCGATGCGCCTTTAGTGCAACTTCACTTACGATTGGTAGTTTATAATACTTCCATGACTAAATTACCCAGACAGCACTGGATATTCATAGAATATTCTCTAAATATGCTAAAAAGGAGGAGTATATTCCGAATATTCATCGCTTATTCCTAGAATATATACATGCCTCAGGAACATCTAAAAGGAATATTCCAAAGTGAATAGTCGGACATGCTCAGGGAATATTCAGGTATGAATCTTCCAGGAATATCCCCAACTGAATATTCTCTGTTGTATATTCATGAAATATACTTAACTGAATATTCTGTGCGGTATATTCATGAAATATACCCAACTGAATATTCTGTGCGGTATATTCATGAAATATTCTCAACTGAATATTCTGTGGTGTATATTCATGAAATATTCCATGAATATTCCTATGTTTCTCAACACATAAATACCATTTATTATTTCAGAGATGTAAGTATATCGAACATCAATTTGATGTAAGGGGATTTTGAAACAAAAAGTGTTTATGATCCGATTTCGAACAATGCTCTCACAAGAACTTGATATGCATAACATTATTCAATTCGATTACTGGCCTAGTGGTCAAGGCGTTGCTCTGATAGTCTTGAGGTCACGAGTTCGATCCCTACTTAGGTCACTTTTTTTCATTTTAGAATATGTTTATTGGAATATTCCAGGAACATTCAACATAGAATATTCTTTTGGGTATATTCTATGATTATCTGAGGAATTCCCATTCGCATATTTGGAGAATATTCCACAGATATTCCGGAATATTCCAGATTATTTCTAGAATATTCCAATATTCCAAAAGGAATATGATAGGGAGATTCATGGAATATCTGGTGCTGTCTGGGATTGACATTTTAATCATACTTGTTTCACTTCATTCATTAATATTAAGATTTGACAACCTCAACAACATCTCGATAGCTTTTTTAAACTTCCATATGGCTGAAAATAGTGAATCACTTCTCAATATTTCTTCTGCTTTCGTGAATGAAGTGCAATTTAAAACACACCTCAGTAGCTTCTTCTAGTCCTGAAGTGCAGTTCTGATTGTATCTCATATAGTTATTTTGAGTGTTTTTTGATGGCACATGAGTGTTAACTTTCAAAAATTCTCTCGAATGTGCCATGCATGCACGAATTTCATACACGAAATACAAACCTTTTTTGTCCAACTGTCAATGTGAATTATTCACATCGCGTCTTTTTTTATATCTCTTGAAGCGAATAAAAGGAAATTCCTATGATGTATTTAAAAAAATACTTCCAATACATCTTGACGTGGATTTTTGTGTCGTTTCTATATAATATTCCAACTGACTCTGTTAAAAATAAATCATTGATAAAGTAGTAGTTCATGTTTATTCTGTGAATTATGTCTGGTATTCACTAAAATAGAAACGTTCATTTATTATTTACGTGTATTAGTCCGATAAGGGCTGGCTACAAATTTCAACCGTCATTTGATAACGAAATGACATATTATTTATGTCCCGAAGGAAAGACAAAACATTGCATTCTATCAAACGGCATCTATGCAAAATGATTGAAAAATTGCACTTTCCTGTGCGGTAATTGGCGCCAAATTTCGTGATTTGTTAATGAGATGAGAATTTTAACTACACCTTGAACAACAATGGTCTCAAACGATTTATTAATTTTTTAATGGAACACCCTGAATATTGTAAAATTACCAGAATTCTCAGAAATTTCTGGATCATATTATGACAAGAGTTTTAAAGCCTACTCAATTTTTCTAGAGTAACTTTCAATATTTGAATAAAAATGAGAATACAGATAATTGAATATTAGGTATACTAAGGAGAATTGTACTACAGTTTAGAGAAATTCTCTAAACTGTGATGGTACGGATAATGATCTACTTAGTTTTGTCAAGTGTGCCATGGATAGCCATGATGCATAAAATTTTGCTGTTATTCTCATTAAGTCTTCTTTGGATTCTTTGGAACCCAAAATACTCATCACTTATTTGAGTTATGACAGTGACATTAGCTTTATGAGCAAACAATAAAATGTATCCTTAGTATTGTGCAATATTGAGAGTAACTAAAGAAATAGAGTAGGCTTTAAAACTTATGAAAATATCACAGAATATTCTCAGACATCTAAAAATGTTATAATATACAGGATATTTAATGTAGAAATTCAAAACCAGAGCCATTTCCGGTAAAACCGGAATTGACCGAAGATTGATAAAGATGAAGAAACTCTCCTCTTAAAATATCATTTATACCCAGATTTATACCTATAATGAATCTCATTTTCATTCCCCTAATATTGAAGTACCTATTTGTTATGACTTTTCTAACAGATTCATAGACACTCTCTATACTTATATACCGGGTGACACAGGTTATCGGGCCACCTCCAGGTTATCGGGCCACCTCTGTAACTTCTGCATTCGTCAACGGATTTTTCTGAAATTCGGTACAGTTATATAATCAACTATTTCGGATTTGATCACATTACAATCCAATATGGCGGACTTCCGGTTTTTCTGGAAATGCCAGCAATTTTGTTTTTTCAAATGGAACACCCTGTATATTTTTACATATTCAAGTTCAAGAGGTCAAAACAAGTGCAATCTTGATGTCAAATGTCATTTATTCCACAGCCTACCTAGTTGACTAATTATTCTAACTGCAAGGAAATTCATAAACTAGTTGTTGATTTTTGAATGTATACAATTTGTTACTGCACCAAAAAACAAAAATGATATGTCATTTTGTTCCTTAATGTATGTTCTAGAGAGACGGGTAGGTGGCCCATAGGGGTTCCATTTGAAAAAAAATAATTTTTGATCAAAAAGTTATGTGGCTGAATTGATTCCTGGATAAGTGACACAAAAAATAATTTTGCAGAAAAAATTATGTTCCTCTGTTATGTGTGACTCATTGTGAATAGTCTTGACCACATCTCATTTATCCACGAGGTAAAATGAAAAAACGATTTTAATTTAAATTTTTTCGAAAAAATGACATTTGAAATAGAGATTGCACTTGTTTCGACCTGTTGAACTTGAATATGTAAAAATATACAGGGTGTTTCATTTGAAAAAACAAATTTGCTGGCATTTCCGGAAATACCGGAAGTCCGCCATATTGGATTGTAATGTGATCAAATCCGAAATAATTGCTTATATAACTGTACCGAATTTCAGACAAATCCGTTGACGAGTGCAGAAGTTACAGGGGTGGCCCGATACCCTGTGTCACCCGGTATAGCTAATTGTCTATATCCTCTGTGCCTATGGTGAAATTTCAATCACATCTCGATTGGTAGTTTTTCATACTTTCGTGACTAAACATTGTAATCATATATGTTTTCATAATAATTTAGTTTTTTTGTAGACTCGTCAAAAAGCAAAAAGTGATGCGTCTACTCCGACAAACACTGTCAGAGGGCCAGAAATAATGCACAAATCCAGCAAGGAACTGTACAGAGCCGTCGCAAAACAATTTGGAATCACTTGTAAGATGTCGGACCAATGCAGGTTAGTATTCAAATATTTCATTTCCTCTATTATTATATGCAATTGTATGAAAGCAGCAACAAAGTAAATATGAAAATTTGCGATATGGAAAATGTGCTGCATATTCACAAGGCTTATCATTAAAAACCCTACGAAAAAACTGGAAATATCTCAAATATACATCAGAGCTAATTCTCAAAATATTGTATAAGTGTTAAGAGCGGAGCATTAATGTTTTCAATATTGAAAATATACGGAGTGTTTTATTCGAAAAACATTATAGAATACCTCTCGTGCGCTCCAAGAGATGAAAAAAATGAGGACAGCACATTTCATTTTTTCTCACTTATTATATAAGTTGAAAGATAGCTGAGATACAGGGGTGATTAAAATGTTGTGTTTGACGAAAATAGAGCGCAGTTTACTTAGTTTACTTGGACATCCATATCTCAAAGTATGGAGTAGAATAGTTAATGTCAGGCAAACTCAAAATCATATCCACAACGTTTGATAATAGTAATAATAATAATAATAAACGTCTTTATTACTTCTGAATGGAAAATAATATATAAACTATGGGTGGATAATAATTTTCAGAAGCAAAGGGCGAAGTTCAATCCAGTTTCTAGATGACTCCGTCCACTGAATTGCTCTACCACCTAACCCTCAAATACCTCAATTCAACATGTAGGAACAACAAAGGAAGAGATTAGAAAAAGTGAAAAGATAGTATCATATAGATGATAACATGATAATAACTGATACACAAATTGGAACATAATAGGAAGTCTAAATGTGTTATTGATTTGAATTGAACAGATGTGAAAATATATTCGTTTTGAATTTATGAAACACTGCTGATTATTGTAAATATGGCATATTTGATAACTGAAGCATCTTCGGAAAAGTTCTGTTTTGAAAGGGGGAGGAGACAGTATTCCTCTTAACCTAATATTCACATTGTGAACGTCGCCGTACGGAAAACAATTTTTTTATGGAGATAGGAAGGTTTTTTACTGATGATAATTCTATGAAAGAGGTTAGAGGTCTGATGAAGTCTCCTGTTTTCCATAGTCAGCCAACCAGCATCTTTCATCTTATGAGAGATTCTCTGGCCTCTCCTTATGGATTAGGGGGGCATGTTTCGGACATCAAGAGTGTCCATCATCAGCCAGGAATAAGATATCCGTAGGGATGGGGATGGGAATATTACATAGTCAATTCAAAATTTGAAGGAATATTACATATTATGGTAGTCATATTGAAGTAAATTATACAAATTTTTGTTAATTAGTCAAAATATAGCCTCTTAATAATGATTATGCCTCGATCATTATTATACCATGAAATATCCTCATCATCATCCCCACGACTATTTTACTCCTGGCGGATGATGGGCACTCTTATTGATGTCTGAAGCATGCTCCCCTAATCCATTGGGATAACTTTGTGGAAATGCATCCTGATGTGTACATCTCAGTAGTTATTTAAAATGTTCGGTATTGTTTTTAGGTGTTTTGACTGTCAAAGCCACTACTTCGACTGCGAGTACGAACAAAACGAGCAAGAAAAGACAGATGGAGGCCTAGGGGCAGGCACTCCTATGTTCCTTTCGGTGATGAATGGTGGCACATGCGTCATTTTGTAATCAGCACAATTAATCAGTGCAACATCTATGTTCCGAATATGACATGATAAAAAAGTCTAAGTAAAAAAATACATGGGCAAGTGTATGTGGAACGATTTGCTTCCCAGTTTTGGGACGTTACTCCGATTCAAAGTTCATATTTATATGTACCTTGAAAAATTCTAGCCACCCCTGTAAAATCATTATCGACTTTTGATCAAGTGTTTTTGTAAGGTATCTATATTTTTTGGAATGCAAATTCAAGTGGGTGATATTTGAACTGATGTATTCCTCACCACTCTCACCAGACCACTTTCTAATGAACTAAAATTTCAGAAGTTAGGCCGTATACCATTAAGACTTAATTTTGACGAAATCTAGCCTGATTTTAATTTAAAATTTTCCTACACCTACCGATTTTCACCACCAGTTGAAACACAAGGATAAAATTCTTCCTAATGACTATTCTACTCTAGATCTCGAGAACCAATCAGAATCGACCATTTTCACGGTTTCTTCTGTATTCTAGTGATATTTTATCGGACTTGCTCTACCAATACAGAAGCCGAATTGACCCACACGTGACCAACAAACCTCGTTTATCAGCGAAAAAAATTGCCGATTACCTAAATATGAGAAAGAATCACCTGATGATTTTTTTCGCGCACTCTGGATAAATTGTGCGGTAAAACTGCATTTAGCATGCGATCGAGATATTTCAAAAAAAAGTTCGAAATTTCGACTCCTTTTTCCCCTTGCGTTGGATGCATTTACAGGTACTTGCTCTTCTTATTTTGTCATTGGACACTTTGTATACTCATGATGTACTTCACTGACATATTTTTATACAGAAAATTCAACAAGACATATGATTTTTATGGTGAGTTTTTCCTATTTAGTGAGCAAGCATACCAGATGACGGCCATTTAATCCATAGGCAATCCAAATACGAGATGTCGAATGTCGAATGTCAATAGATTGCTTTGGAATTTCTTTATTTCTAGTTGACTCATATAATAAAAAAATGTGGCCAACATTGTGTGATATATATAAATTGTCCAATGATGGAAAAAGAAGGACAAATTGTTCTAAATATGATCCAGAAGACAGGCGGAAAAGAAGGTGAAATTTGTAACTTTATAGAAATATCTCAATAAATAATGGTTTGTTCACATTTTTATTATCAAATTCGTGTTTTTCAGACAAAAATACACAAGTACCAAAAAAAAATTTTCGAAAAAAAATCCATCGCATGATAAGTGCAAAATTACCTTATTTTTTACTGTGATACACGGGAAAAATATTAGATTTTAGCTTACACAACCTCGAGATAAAATCGACTGGTTAACAAGTTGAAAACTTTTTTGGCACACTAAAAAATTGAATGTAGGTGCTTCAGCCAAGGCACTATTATAGGCAAAGGTTACAGAATAATAATAAATCCAACTACTCCCCAAACTTCTCCCTATTTTAGTATAAAAGGAATAATATACTATTTCTGTGAACTTTGTGCATGTCGAGGTGCATGTACATATTTCAGCGTTTTTAGAATTTCGAAGATTATGCTAGAAAGCGACGGAAGCGTGTTGTCAACTAGCAATTTCGATTGATTTTCGGAAAACCAACTAGTAAAAAAAATGTAATGCATTTACTAATTGTCTGCTAATTAGAGAAAAATCTAGTGACCTGTGTTGTAGTATATAGTTACAGCTCACTAGATTTTTTTCTCTCTATTTAGCAGACAATGCATTTGCTCATACAGGGTAATAACAGATTTATGATTAATTCGATCATTTTTGGGGATATGCATAGAAATTGCGAGGATAGGTAGGTATAGGACATTATGTATAGGTACAGGGTGATTCACCATAAATGTCCCCCCTCTAGCTCACTTATTTTTGAACCGATTTAAAAATTTGAAAAATAATCTAAAATGATTTTTCAGAATTTTTTTTCCCGTTGCATCAGAAAATACAGGGTGCTCGGAACAAACGACCTACAGAGTACTACTTGATTTTTTCGAATGGAACACCTTGTATTTCATTGTATTTTTATATTCTTCCTGAAGAGCTGATTCCATCAATGTATCACACTTGGGGTCTAGCGGGAACGATTACAGAGATATAGGGTGTTCAAAATCGAGATTTTTCAACTTCAGGATTTTTTGTGTCGAAACTATTCATTATTGGTCAAAACGGCTTTTATGCCCATCTTAACTTTTGATTTACTGTCTACTGACATTTAATTGGAACATTTACAGGGTGGTTCAAGATTCAGAATTCCGATCACCCTGTATCTGTTCCAACTATTAAATGTCAGTAGATAGTAAATCAAAAGTTAAGATACGAATATGAAAGCCGTTTTGACCGATAATGAATAGTTTCGTCTCAAAAAAATCCTAAAGTTGAAAAATCTCGATTTCGAACACCCTATATCTCTGTAATCATTCCCGCTAGACCCCAAGTGTGATAGATACATCGATCAAATCAGCTCTTCAGAAAGAATCTGAAAATACAATGAAAAATAGGGTGTTCCATATAAAAAAATCATATAGTACCATGTAGATCGTTTGTTCCGAGCACCCTGTATTTTCTGATGTAGGGAAAAAAAACTTTATCGAAAATCATTTGAGATATTTCAGATTTTGAAATCGATTCAAAAATAACTGAGCTAGAGGGGGGGACATTTATGGTGAATCAGCTTTACACCTACTAGTATACCTGAAATGGTTTTTTTCCCAATAAATATGAATAGGACTTTTGGTTTTTTAGAATGTTATCAGTAAAAAATCCCTACCTACTATAAAATGTTAATATTATATACTCTACAATTCCTTCAACTTGAATGTCATAGTTTATAGAGGAAATATAGGTAATCCGGAAATATGTGTTTTGAAATAATGTGTGGTACCTATATACAGGGTGTACCATAAGTCATATGTATCAAAAGAAGTGGTGTGGTAGGGGAGGGGGGTCATTTCCAATGAAACCAACCGTATAAATGTGGATGATGGTTCAAAAACTATAATTTTTTTCATTTTTATAAAAGAAATTAATCACAATAAAACCATGTCACATTTAAGATTTTTCCTTTTTCAAATTTTATCCGCATGGATGTACCATTCCCCAGGAATATTTTTTATGGCCTGTGTTTTTTATTTCCTATCAATTACGAAAATGTTATCCTTTTGTAATGTTGGATAAAATATTTAATTCAGTTGATTTTTTGATATGATAACCAACTATAAGCAGAAGTTGCCCATTTTATACAGATTCCGAAATGGTATAACATACAGGGTTATCCAAAACAGCATTTTGTTTTTTTTTTCAAATAAGTCGTGTTTTTCAGAAAAAAATGAATAACTTCTAAACCATCTACAATTGGGTAACCACATATAATGTTCTAAAATTGTTTTTATCCATCATTCGGTTGCCCCCTTACGAGCAACCCTCAGAAGTCTTCAAGAGACTTGTACGAGCAAGGAATGACGGGGATCTTACCTTATTTTAATGTGTGATCCTAAACACTCTCTTAGGCCATCAGAAAAATTTATTTGGTCGTGGTGGGAATCGAACCCACTACCGGTAATCCAACGTGGATAGAACATAGAACATTAACCACGAGGCTACACTGGCCTATATGGTTAGTTTGATTTCAAATGGCCCCCTCTTCCACCCCACTTCTTTTGATCCATAACTTATAGGACACCTTGTATAGGTTGAAATTATGTGAGTAAAATCTTAGCTAGTGAATCCCCGTTTTATCTACCTATATATACAGAGAAGTGCATGAAAAATAAAAAAAACTGTATCTTCACAATCGCGTTCTCACACACACTGTGCATTTGAATACTTCGTACGAAAATATATTCGTGATCGTTTGAAATAACCCTATATGAAACCCGGAACTGTTGAATTCGTCATGATTATGGAATAAAATACAGGGTGTCCCAATTGAAAATCAAAAGTTTTGGTCGTTTCCGGTGAAACCGAAAGTGATAAAACAATAGTATATTGCGCAACAAGTGGGGAAAGTTCACCTTTTCTCACGATTGTGAAAGTTTGTGTCACGAGCCTGAAGGGCGGGTGATGCAAACAGTGAGAGTGAGTGTGAGAAATGTACTTCTCCCCACATGTGGCGCACTATACTTTTTCTACAACTGCACTTATCCAAAGAATCCAAGTAATGTAACTTATTGGTATTCATTTCATAATGTGGCACTATGCCACATTGAATATTGTGACCAAAGAGTAGACGCCTATCCTAGTTCCTCAAAGTATTTAAAAAAAATACACTTTCCGAAAAAGATTTTATTTCTATATTTTTTCTAGATTCCATAAATTTTTCATAAATGTCAATCCATACTTTTTTCTTGAAACAAATCCAACTTTCTATTCGCAGCTTTCTCCATTATCTCTGTCTCTGGCGGTGTATTTATCGAAATCGTCACATCTCGGTATATACATCAAATTATTTATTATGAATTGTTGGAACAATATTTGATGGAAAATGCGATTTCTATCAAAAGCACTAATGAGAACTACCCTAAAGAATTTAAAAAACTTCTTCTGACAGTTGTGACAACTATTCAAAGCTGAACAGCAGCCAATTAAGTTTTGGTTAAGTGCCGTGAGAAAAAATATTTCTCACAGTATGAGCAATACATGGTTTTGAAACTAAGTAAGCCATGAGAAATGCGCTACTTTTCATAGCAGTAGTAGAAAAAAATTGTTCTATTAGGTACCTATAATTGCTACTAACCAATTTTCGATATCTAATCTCGAAGGATTCAGAAGTAACAGCACTGGCCGTTTCATTGTACATTTCTCTGCATATGATATATCTACAACATGTATATATAGGAACCTCTTAGTCATGCATGTTATTATATGTTATGTAGGTATTTCTCCATATAATAATTAGGTATAGGTATAGCGAGGTAGGTATAGGTATACCTAAATTTTCTGTTCATAAATTTACCCTGAAATTTATTTGCGGACGACAGTTTTGTCCTCTTTTTA